TTTGCTTTTCAAGTTTGGATATTTTGTATTTACACTATGTTTAACTTTAAAGTTTAGTACCATTTACAATTTCTATTATCATTTATGGTATTTTTTATAATTGCAGGAAATATAGCAAATGCTAAGTAGATAATATTTGAGTTTAGTTTTTATTTAGCGACGAAATTTCATAATGTCACAATAAGAAAGAAAAAACATACAAGTAAAAAAAGAATAATAAATAAACAACGAGAAAATATATCGTCACAATAGCATTCCAGCGATGAAACTAAATTAGCTTAAAATCAGGGACGAAAAAGATTTTCGTCACTAGCCCCAACGACAAACATAATATATTCGTCGTTGGAAGCCATCGACACTAGCCTTTTCGTTGCACGCGTCCACCGACGCTAGCCTTTTCGTTGCACGCGTCCACCGACGCTAGCCTTTTCGTCGCACGCATCCACCGACGACGACCTTTCACGTGACGTGCTTAGCGACGATACGATTTTTGTCGCTGTTGACCATCAACGACGGAAATGGAGCTTCAGCGACGAAATAAAGGCGGTTTTCGTCGCTGAAGCTCATTTTCCTTATGGTGAGAGAAATCAAACACACGATCATTTTTAATAAAGAACATAAAGGTTTATCGAGTTTAGAAGAGTCCTTTATAAACTATAAACCGCCCATAGAACCTTGCGTGGCCTAGGAAACTTCTCACACCGAGGTCGCAGTTGTTTAATAACTTCTACCTTTGTCTTGTCTACTTCCAAGTATTTCCTTAAGCGATGCCCCAGCACAATACCCTATTTGTCCCTGAAGTGGCATTTTTCCCAATTAAGGACCAGATTGGTTTTCTCACATCTCTATAGCACACGTTGAAGATTTGACAAACATGCAGCAAATTTGCCCCAAACATTAAAAGGTTGTTCATAAATACTTCTACCACTAACTCAACTAAATCGATTAAAATGGTCATGATACAAGATTAGAACGTTGTTGAAGCATTACACAGATCGAAGGGCATCCTTTTGGAAGTGAAAGTTCCATACAGGCAAATGGAAGTGGTCTTATGTTGATCCTGAGGCGCAATAGTAATCTAGTTATAGCCGTTGTATCCATCTATAAAACAGTAATACTCCTGACCAGTTAATCTGCCCAACGTCTGGTCAATGAAGGGTAAGGGAAAATGGTCCTTCTTGGTGGCTTTGTTGAGTTTTTTTGTAGTCCATACATAATCTTCATCCAGTAATACTACTGTGGGAATGAGTTCATTCTTGGTGTTCTCTATCACTGTCATTCCTCCCTTTTTCGGAACATATTGTACAGGACTGACCCACCCGCTGTCAACGATTGGATAGATGATCCCAACATCTAGCCATTTAAGTTTTTCCTTTTTCACCACTTAATTCATCGTTGGGTTCAATCTTCTTTAAGGATCCACTGAGTTCTTAATCTCTTCTTCTAGAACAATTTTGTGCATGCAAAAACTGGGACTTCTCCCTTCGATATCCGCTATTGTCCAATCGACTGCCCTTCGCTGTTCCCTTAACACCGCCAGTAGATCTTTCTCCTTTTTTTTCACATAAGTTTGCTGTAATAATAATGGGAGGGCTTTAGAAGTACCTAGATAAGGGTACTTCAAATGCCAGTGCAAAGCTTTAATTTTAATGGCTAAGTTTCCAGCTCGTACAATGTCTTCCTTCCATGGTTCTAAATAGAGCAAATTCTCAATTCTACCGAATGCATAAGAGTTGGGAAAATATGAAACATCAAAACCATGTAATTCATTAAATGGGAGGGGTTATAATTACATCCAATAAAAAGAAAGAAACAAGAAAAATGGAGGGAAAATTCTAAAAAAAACCGCACTCTCTTCAACTGCATTGTAATATTGTTTAAACTCTTGGTCAGTCATCCCATCCTCACTTCCGTTTGGGCTAACGGCATTGAATCCCTTGTTGGCATCGAACTAACCTAGATAAATCCTTGCTTGATAATTAAATCAAAGGTTATAATAATGTGCAGAAAAAATGAAAGAAAAGTAAAAAACTATGCACTTGTACTATGTTTCCACAGTCAAACAAATAAAAAAAAAGTACTACTACACTTAAACTTGGTATGTAACTACACCATAGCAGCAAACAACATTCAAAAACCAATATTGAAAAGTTTTCTAATTAATCCATACAACAACAACGAAGTAAATACGTCTAATTATATATGAAAGAAGATCATCTATGTGAGGGGGCAAGCAATGGGTTTGAGCTTGGTTTCAAAACCAAATCATCATAAGATATCAAATGAAACATCGACGATTGCAACTTTGGGTATTGGAAAATGCAGATTAAAGATTACTTGAACTACAAAAAGGTGCGAACGATTAGCTGGAATGAAGCTTGAAGATTGGGAAGGTATGGATGAACAGGCAGTTGCAATTATCAGGTTGTGTCTATCAATGAATGTGACAAGTCTCGTGGAAAATGAGACAACGACGATAAGTTTGATGAATGCACTGACGAACAGGTATGAAAAACCCTATACCAATAATAAGATATATCTTATTAGAAGATATTTTAACATTCGTATAGATGAGAATGCTTCTGTGAATTCCCATATAAATGAAGTGACTACTTTAATCAATCAGTTAGTGTGTCTGAAGATTACATTTAGTAATGAGCTTAATGCTATTTTATTGTTGACTTATTTGCCTGAAAATTGGGAAACGATGAAGATAGTTGTGTCTAATTCGTTAGGAGATAAGAATTTAAAATTTACAGAAATTTGTGATGATGCAATTGCTGAGGAAATTCGCAAGAAAGAAAGTGGAAAAGAATCTAATTCTGGTTCTGCATCTGGCTCAGCATTTGCTGTTCAGAAAGGTAAAGAAAAGGTTGATTATGATGATAGACAATATAAAAATAGCAGGATGAATGGAAATAGAGAGATCAAATGTTATTACTTCCACAAGAAGAGCCACTATAAGATGCATTGTAGAAAATTGAAAGAGGATCTGAAAAATCTGGAGGCAAATGTAAACGTAGTTGTGCATGATGCTCTTGTTTGTGTTGATAGTAACACAACACCAGTAGGTCAGTCATGATAATGGGTAATAGACAGTGCAGCTTCAATACACATCTCTTCAGATATGAGATTGTTCACATCATTCACTGCAAGCAACTATGGCATGGTGAGGATGGGAAATGGTAGGCTCTCCAAGACCAGAGGAATTGGAGATGCCTGAAGACCGAAACTGGGACTGAGTTAGTTCTGCGAGATGTCAGATACGCACCCAGCATCAGAATGAATTTAATATCTGCAGGGAAGTTAAATGACGATGGCTACAGAAGTGAGTTTGCTGGAAACATGTGGAAACTCACTAGAGGATCCAAGTTGGTGGTTGTTGGCCGTAGGACATCTACAGTGTACACAGTAAGATTTGGTGTTGCCAAAGGATTAGGGAGATAGATGATGCATAGAGCTGTAGATGGTATAGATGGAGACATGACAGAACCAGCAGTATTGACAACCAGGATAGATCCATCAGTTCAGGTTCAACAATTGGGAGGTCAGGATAAGAAAAAGAAAAAGAGTTCAGTTGGTTGTCAAGTGATAGCCCCAGTTGTCGGACGGTTCAGCCAATTGATGAAGTCTCATAGGCGAAATGATGCATCAAAGAAGAAGATCACAATTGGTGCTAAGGTTGAGGTTAAAGTCTCTAGCTTGGTAACAGATCAGACTTGAGTGGGAGTGTCAAGTCATCGAAGGATAATTCTTTCTTTGGGAGTCGTTGGTAGCGATCGAAGAAGGAAGCGTCGGAAGGTATCACTTAGTTCGAGTGGGAGTACGTGGTTATGTCTTTTACGTCTGGAGACAAGACCACGTAGGTTGTCTAGTCTCAGGGCAAGCACAAATGAAACCTTGGTTGTTTGTCAAGATGATCAGATGTTGTTGTTGTAGTGGGAGGTGAGATTCTCGTTTTGTCTTCAAGTGGGAGATTGTTGGGAAATGGAGACAAAAAATAGGAAATAATCAAAGTGTGTAGTCATTGGCCCAAAGAATATTATGATAGGCCCAAACCTATTTCTTCCTCACTAAGCATTCAACCACAATTTAAAAAACTTTCATTGAAAGATTTTTTTTACTTAGAGATAGAAGCAAACGAGGGAGGTGGCCATTTCCGGCAGAGTTTGCGAGAGAAAGAGAAATAGGACCTGTAGAGCGTCGTCGACAGTCCGTTCTCGTATTTCTTGTGAGGTTTTTCATTCTGTATCCCTAAGTAGCTATTGTAGTAGTGCTTAGAAGATAGGTGGGTATTGTTGTAGCATCTAGAGAGCGTTTTTGAATGACTTCTTCACTTGAATCCGACAAAAATAAGTATCTCTTTGATTCTGATGGATACTATGAACGTGAGAGGAATGAGGAAGAGATCTCCTCTGACTCGTCTGCCCCTATAAACAATAATTATCTGTAAGATGAAGATCAATACTCTCAAGATTAAGAAAAAAAAAAACAATTTCAACAAACAGTCCTCTAAATACGATTCCTTTCAAATTTCTCTTATATATATATATTTTCCATACTAGCATTTGCAACATAATAATTTCATTGTCTAGGCTTAAAACATTGTGTTGTGGGCAACGCAGGGCTCGAAGAGAAATCTTCATGAAAGAGGAAAAAACAGTCATAGGCAGAAAGGAGAGATGAAAGGCAATAGAGGAGCATTCTATATTGGGTTTGAAATGTCACAAACTTTCTAAATGATGCAGAATGGGAGGGCTTTTTTATGGATTTTAAAGGACAAAATCTCGTCTGCCAATACAATTAAATCCCAACTAATATTATTTGTTCAGATCCAGCCATTGGGAAAGTTGTTGGTTTGGAGCAAGGTATGTCCTTTTCAAAGGATTTTGCAAGATATGATTTCAAAGGAAAATTGATGAAACTTCACCCCATGGAAATGGTTGAAACGAATCCTCTATAAAAGCAAAACGCAAGGAGCCATGAAATCACACTTGTGCCACAATATATCTAACTTTTATCTCTCCCTACAACATCTTCTCTTCTTCTACTTGTGCGTCTAAACTTCTTTTATGTCTTCTCTTTCCCTTCTACATGATTCTTCTTTCTTCTATTTAACTTTCTTTTTTTTTTTAATTCCATGCATGCAAATGCAGAAACTACTCTCCCATCCATATAATATTTGAAAAGGTTGAGGTACTCATGAGGACCTTGAACTACAAAAAAATGGAGGTATACTTTTCTTTTTCTTTTTCTTTTTTCCATTTTTTGATAGATCTTTCTTTCAATATATTCTTATCGTAACTTCTTTTTTCTTCACTAATACCAAGAGGGGACTTTAATCTAAGTAACCTTATTGTTGGTAGGAGGTGAAAGCTTTTGACCGGCGAGAACACAATATTCTTATTCCGATTCGAGATCAAGACACATGTAGTGAGTATTGAAAATGCCGTTCTTTTCCAACTTTTTAGCATTTTCGTTTTACATAAATATTTCTTCTATTGGATCTATATTCTTAAATAAGTTTAAACACGAAAAATTGAATATAACTCAACTGTTTCAGACATTTATTTCCAACCAAAAAGTCACAGTTCCAACTCCCACCCCAAATATTGTACTAAAAAAATTAATTCTAAACTCTGTCAAAAAAAAAAAGGAGGTTCGATTCCATGCTCTTTCCTAGTTTCCTTAAGATATCATAGGTTCATGTTGATGTGTTTAACTATATTAACATCTCTTTTATATTTGAAGGTGATTATATTATGGTAATATTAATACCTTTTTTCCTATTAGATTGCTGTTGGGCAATAATGGCGGCAGGGGCTATCGAGTCTATTTACAATATTAAGCATTACGGTCGATACCCAAATAGACTTCAAGCCGCACCTCAACATCTCATAGATTATCTTCAGCCTAACCCAAAAGAACCAGGTTGTAAAGGATGCTATCTGTCATCAATAGTAAGAGCTTTTAAGTGGGTCATAAAAATAATAAAAGAATAGCTCAAGAGAAAGACTACCCATTTAAAGCAGAAAAGGGAGATTGCAAACAAATTGGACTGGTAAAACTGTTACTTTATAATTTATTGCTTTACCTTTTATCCAAATTTATAAATAATTCTATTTTATTTCTAATAACTTGTTTAATCTATTTATTTGCAGCAATTGATAAGTATTCGTTATGATGAGAAAATAAGTATTCATAAGTTAAATTTCAAGATTAAGGATCAACCCTTAAGTGGTGCTATAAATAACTTTTATTTGCGAAATAAGTATTGATAGGTTAAATTCTAAGCTTAACGATCACCCTATTCGTGATACTATAAAAGTTATTATTTGAAAATGGTAAGTCAGATACTTGTACAAATATATATACTTTTTTATGATAATTATGGAAAAAGAAATAACATATTTTGGAATTTAAAAACATTTTTTTTAGAATTAATGACTATTAATTGAGTATCTTAATGAGTAAAATCTCTTGAATATATCTTATTTGTCGGAGTTAATTTTTTTAATTGAATTGTTGTAGGAAATATATTCTGGTACTTTACTGGACACTCATCCTTGGCACGCGGTCCTCATAGTAGGTTGTGGAGAAGAGATAAGAAGAGATGTTACTGCAAAATAAGCCAAAATCATGTTGATACCCTGAGGTCCCAAATATCTGTTGGAAATATTTTCTTATCCAAAGATATAAGTGGAAAAAGAGAGTGATGGAGAAGACAACGATGGTAACAAATATTGGATTATTAAAAATTATTGGGGAAAGGATGGGGAGAAAAGGTTACCGTAAAATAAGCCAAAATGTTGTGATACCCCATAAGGTCCAAAATATCTGTTAGAAAGATTTTCTTATCCTAACATATAAGTGAAAAAAAAATGATGGTGAGAATGTGTAATATTTTTCCACTATTTAATGAAGCATTTTATGTTCATCCACAATTACATACTTTTGTTTTTACTAGTTTTTTTAATACAATCTTAATTTGATTTTATTATATATTTATGTAAACTTTAATTAAAAAAGTTCAATATCTATCAAATATTATAGTTTTTTATATTTATCAAAAATATTTATAGTTTTTTATATTTATCAAAAAAATAAATTATCTATAAAATAGTAAGTGGTTTTTTAATATAATTTAATAATTATTCATTATTTCTAAAGTTTATTAATAATTATTAAAATAAATGGTTCACCAGTTGACAAACTTAACTTAAAATTTGTAATTAGTCTTTTTTTTCCGTCTTTTAGAAATGAGACATATATTATTTATGTTGAAATTAATATATCTTTTAATTGGTATTTAACTTGCGATCACAATTATTTTTATTGTTATCAATGAATAACTAAACATACATGTATAAGTGAAATGGTGGGGTGTGTGAGAATATCAAGTGGTTTAGAATGTACTTAATTACTTAAATCAAAACATGCATAGGTAAGTTAAAGTATAAAAATGTTAAACAGGATTTACAAACAACATAATTATTACTCAATTACTAAAGATAAACATGTTTTTAATAGACATCAACTATTTAATCTAGAAATATTTATGTTGGTATATTTTTCTTTGCCTCTTTTTAAATGTTTAAAAAAACTAATGTAATTGTTCCTAATAAAAAAACAAAGATTAATATTGTATGTATATAATATATACCTCTCATCGGTGTTGAAGATCACTAAATTACAATAAAATGGAAACGTATTTACTACACTAATTAAGAAATCTTAAAAATAAAAAACCGTGAGAGATAAGATAAAAACAAATACATGAATAATAAAGAAATAAACCTAAAAAAATCGTCTGCATATATAATATTTAACAAAATAATGATAATATTGAAAAAAAAACATAATAATTCTTATAATAACAAAAAAAATGTCAACAAATACAAAATAAAATACATTAGTAATCGTAAAATAAATAAAAAGACAACAGTAACAAAAAAAGAATTGACAAAACTAATAGCCAATATACATGTTGAAGATAGACAATTGAAAACATAATTTAATTGAAAAATTAAAAGAGATGTTGCTGAAATATTTCTATTTGATGAACTTGAAATTGGAAGGAAAGAAAAGCGAAAAAGCCTTAAATCTGCAGAAATATTAATGGAGGATTAAAATCGAATAGTTGTACCTTTTAAATGTTTTTAATTGCGGCCTTTTTTTTTTTTTTTTACCTTTTTGACAAACTCACGTAAACGATTCACACCGACAAATAGCAATAGTGAACAACAAAATCAAGATATATTATCTTATATTTACTTCTTACCGATGTTTGAGATTAAACTGACCAAGGTTTGCAAGATACATACAACGATCAAATATTGCTAAACAATGCCGCTCTACAAAACATTAAAAAGAATAGTATAAATATTAGTATTCTGTCACTGAATCGAGGAATCACAATGAACTAAAAAGAGAAAAATATGTTTAGAAAAAAGATAGAACAAATTGGTGTCAAATTTAGTGGAAAGATAACCAATTTTATAGTTGTAGAAAGTAGACAAGTTGCACAAACCTTTGAGATTCTATCACCTTTTATATTCAACCATTGAACCTAATTAAATGAAAAAAAAAATTCACTAATTTATATAAATAAAGACAAAACTTTTCATATTCTTAACCTTTCATGTTTTATTCATTTAATTCCTGTGACACTATTCATAATTTATTTAGGATAAATCTTAGGAAATTTTTAATATCTCAATTTAAAATAGAAATATTCTCATATATTTTACTCCTCATCAGTATATTTTATTAACTTTGATATATATAATTTTTATTTGCTAATTATTAGTTTAATGTTTTTCATTATTATTGTAAAATATTTTATTTGCTAATTGTTTAAATTTTCCATTATTATTTTAAACATAAATTATTACATAATTAGAATAATATTTAAATTTTCTCTTATTCTTTAAAAAAAAATCTCTTAAAATCTAAACTAATATATAATTTTTATTTGCTAATTGTAAAATAATATTTCAAACACTGTTTGGGGAACAGAATACCCTGGACACGTGGAGGACCCCTATTGGTGCTCCAAGATGACTCATGAGTCATGCCCAGCTCGGGCCGCCGAGATCACCACCACTAGCGTTGACAGATGCTAAGTATGAGGGCCGAGGTGAACCTGGCCGAGGTCCGATCTACCGGGAAGCTCGGTGGGGGCCGAGGTGAGCTACTGTCAGCGGCGTGATTGTCGGGTGTAACCGTCGGTC